TTAAACCTGTGTTATAATGTTCAACTTATGAAATTATAAGTGTAAACATCAACCAAAGAAAATTTTCATTCTATTTAGGTAAGGGGACTATTGTGTTTCCATTTGTACAATGGATACATATAACATATAAGGCACAATTATATACATGTCTTTGTATCTGGGGATTGGTTTAAAGAAATGTGTTTGGTTGCCAGGTTGACAAGGGGTGGATTGTAGTGGTTGATTGATTATGTCAACTTGAGAAGTTTAGAAGCATAACTAAACTTGGTTCAGCAATTGGGTCAGCAATTCTACACCCTATGGTGTGGAGGACCCATCCTAGGGTGTAGAGGAGCCACCCTAGGGTGTAGAGGAGACACCCTAGGGTGGATCATCACCTAGATAATATAAAAGGGAGATGAAGAAGGACAGAGGTACTTCCATTCCTTTTGGAGGAGCTCCAGTCTTCACCTTCAGCTTGGACTTGTCTCCTGGCACTCCTGCACTACAAAGTGCAGACTCTTTGGCTTCCACCTTGGATCCTTCAGCCTTCCTTTGCAGACTCATCGGCCTCCTGGTAAGGACTTGTATGGAACTCTGCAGTGAACTCCAGACTCTGGACTGATTCCTTCGGTCTTCAGTGTGCAGACACCCTCTGCACACTTCCCCATACAACTCTCTGGCTGACCATCATAAGCCAATCTTGTAATTTCTTATAATTTGTATATCCTGTGTTATATCTGTTTCTCCAGTAAAACCCTGACTAATACAGCCTTCAAAATGAAAGAAGAGTCTTTTGAAAGAGACTGTCCCGCAGCTACGTAACTACCACAGTTTGTGTGTCATATAAGTAGCAATACCCATTCCTCATGTGTTCCAGTTGTCTCATATGTCAAATTGAAATTACGTGCTTCACTGGGTAAAATCTTCAGAAGTGGATATCTGGGGAAACTGACTATATATTTATTTGTTTTCTCACATTATTTTCTCTCTTCCTCTTTTCCCTTCTTTGTCTCAGTCTTTTTTATTTCCGTCTCCTGTTCTTATCTATTTTTTGATTCATTTCTGTAATACGAATATTATCACAACGCTGCATGTATTCCTAGTATAACTTTTAGGAACAATATATTCCTCTTTGGGATTGTAAATCGAATTTATTCTATTGAGTCCAGGGATGAGGGTGAAACATATTAGGAAATGAGGTCACTCTTCTCTAATTCTTATTTTTCTTGTGTTGTTTTTCTCTTCTAGAGGCTACATCCATACTTGTTTTCTTTGTGTTTCTAGGCATGGCACAGTCTCAAGGCTGGGTGAGAAGGTACTGCAAGGCCTTTTGTAAAGGCTTCTTTGTGGCAGTGCCTGTGGCGGTGACGTTCTTGGACCGGGTGGCCTGCGTGGCAAGAGTGGAAGGAGCATCAATGCAGGTGAGAATGAATTCAACTTCATTTTTTTTTTTTTTTGTACCAGGAATCAAGCTCAGGGCCTCTGGCTTGCCAGGTAGGCCCTGTGCTGCTGAGCTACATCCCCACCCTCAACTTCATTTGTATTGTTCCTGAAGTACCAAAAGTGAGAGTTGTAGTTCCTATTTCTGTGCTGGGAACTTAAAGGTTTTAAAAAAGGTATTGAATTGAAATTTCACTTCACTAAATTTCTTTATAAAATCTTGTAATGTAGTACTATTATAATCAGAGTAAAGGTGAATAAAAATAACTATTAAATGCTTCTCTTGGGCTGAAGTTGAGTTTCTTGCTGAGAATTGTAAATGGGGATTCTGAGAAATTTTATTTTCACCATTTACTGTGAATATGGCCATATTTGAATATCCTTGTAAGATCAGTTTATTGATATAGTTACAGCATAGGTTTGGGTCAAATTGAGTCGTTCTACTAATACCTACTTTTAGTTTGTACAAAAGCCTAGTCACTGATCCCCGATATTCTAATGTGCTCCTTAAAACAGCTGCTGATTGAAAAATATTAAGTACAGTAAGCTGGACATTGGGCCGCAAATCAGGAATCCCAGCACTTTGAGAGGCTGAGGCAGAGGATGACAAGTGCAAACCCAGGCTGGGCAGCTTATTGCCTTAGTGAGACCCTGCCTACAAAATTAAAAAAGAATACAGATAAAAAGAGGGCTGGAGATACAGTTCAGTGTGACGGTAGGTAGTGGGTTCAATCCCAAGTACTGAAAAGAAATACAAAAAGTTAAGGACTGTGGAATACTTTGGAGATTTCCAAAGTTATAGACTTCACAGTCTTCTGGAATAACTCGAGAAAATCTTACTGTTCTGCAGTTGATATTTTCAAACTCACTCCATATGTTCATGCAAGTAAGCAGTCTGCGTTTTGTAATAAGATTTAGTTGATCTCATTGTTAGCATGCGTTCATGCATTATGATAAATAGCTTTGTAAAAAAACCAAATATATACTTCAGAGAATTAAAATTATATAGAGAATAACCAGCTTGTTTTCTTTTTGTTTTGGTTAGAACTCTTTAAGGGCATCGACTCAGCTTTAATGAGTTAGATGGATTTATTTGATTTATTGTAGTAATGGTACTGAAAATCAGACTGCTTCCTGAGTTCTGGTAGTCAATGACATAAGCAAGGTCAGCAGACTATTACAGTAGGTGCTTTTTGGATGCAACTAGAGGTTTAGAGCAGGGCTGCCTTTGTATCTGGTTCTGATTGCATCCTCTGAGGGTTGTTCGGCCCTGCTGATCAGGGGATTCTGACCTGAAACTTATCTTGTAGGTTCACTTGCTAGCAGGTCACCAGCCTATAGCAAATTGACCACTTACTTTGAATAAAAAATATTTAAATGCCAGAGTACAGTAAACATAGGTGAGTGATTTAGTTATATATGAGTTTATTTCTACATACAATATAACACAGATTGGATGTTGTACTTCCTGCCTGTTTACTTTTGAATTCCTAAAAGCCTTCTCTTATACCTAATCCTTAGAGAAATGTAGCCTTCTTTTTTTTTTGTAGAGCTTTTGAATCAGATTTTTCATTTCAGATTAAGATTGTCTTTTCCCTCACAGCCTAAACTACCTTTTGGTCCCTGGGACTCTTTTAAATCCATCCACTGGTATGTATCTTTTAATACTAACAATCAGATTCATGATTTTTCTCCAGTTTTTTTTTCTTCTGTCTTGCTATACAACTATCACTATCCTGAGAAAGATTTTTCCAAAATATAAAACCTCCTTACCTTGGAGCTCATAATAATCCAGGAAATCATGTAGCAATCAAATATTCCAATCTTCATATTTTTAACCCTGTGTATTCCTAGTTTTGGATTACTTTTTTTTTTTGTCTTTTTGAGACAGGGTCTCGCTATGCAGTTCAGGCTGGCCTTGAGCTCACTTTGTAGCCGAGGCTGGTCTTGAACTTGCAACGATCCTCCTGCCTCAGCCTCCCTCAGTCTTGGGATTACAAGTGTGCTCCACCATACCTGGCTTCCAGTGTATTCCTAGTAAGCACCAATATTTATGGCTGTAGGAAGTGCTAAGAAAATTCACTTAAAAATCTATACATTTTGTTCACAAGACAGTGAACATCTTATGAAAGAGAAGGCTTATCATCAGTGAAATCATGTTAAGCCATGTCATTCCCAAGTACAAGTCCACGGGCTAATCATGTGAGCCTTGCATTAGATGCACTGACATTTGTAGGTGATTGAACAGTGGACACATGGCTGCTGGCAGCTCTTCTAGCTGAAGGTGCCTAGTTTCCTCACCATCTCAGAGAGATCACTTTTCCAGCCTTAATTTCAGTTTGAAAGCCCTGGGGAAAGGACTGTGAACCATTCAGCCCGGATCGCATGCTCTTATCTTTACAAACACACAAGTCCACGTTGGCCAGCAGGGTGGGTGTGGCAATTGGTCCAGCTGTGGCTGGACAAGCTCTGTAAGACAGTGAGAGCATCTGTTTAAACTGCCTATTCCATGGGCACTGGGAGTGAAGTACAGGCGTTTCCCGGAAAAGCTGATGCAATTTTCAAAATACAACCAGGAGGATGTGCTTCTGGAAAAACAGGAAAAATATTTGCTTACTACAGTTAGGTCTGTACTGTCTGAATTTGAGCCTCAGTGCAGGTATAACAGACAACTTCATTTATAGTTTCACTAGGCTTCATTACATCATGGTAAAAGCACTAGTGAAATGGAGGAGTGAAGAAATTTTAGCATTTGAAGATCATTTTAGTACATAGCTCTGGCAAACAACATGGTTAGACCGTGGGTTTTAGCAAACATTTTGACTACTGGAGTAAATCCTTTTCTCGACGTTTCTCTAGTTGTGGAGCTAAGTTCTAGAGCATCCTGCAAGAAATACATCTTCTCTTGTCTCTGAGGCCTGAAAATCACACCTGGTGTGAGGCACTTTGTTGGTTTGTCTTGAAGAGGGGCGCTTTGGTGTGCAATGAGCTTTCCTTATACCTAAGCTTAGGAGTATGAAAGGAAGGCAGAAAAAGAAGAGGCGAGAAATAATAAAGTAGAAAGTACATGACACAGATACGTATGGGCTGGATGATAGAGGATGATGAGGGGAATCAGACTACCAGGTGGCGAATAGTGCAGGGGCACAGAGGAAGAGTGTCAACGAGATTCAAGGCGGAAAAGTGGTGGAGTCTGGACTCAGAGCTTGCTGGGCGCCCTGTGGCACAGCTTTTGGGGGTACGCCTTCCTGCTCGGTGTATCTCTGCGCGTGTTTGTGTGTGGCGACGGCGGGAAGTGTTACCTCGCCACCCATTCTCCATCTCGGTATTCACTGAAGGGATCTGTGTGCCATTTTGAAGGAGTCCATGTCGATGTAGGTTATCAGCCGTGAACACTCGTCACTGGATAGTACTGATTCTCCTGGGTACGCAGCTAGAAGGACTGTATCTTAGCATCTCTGTCAGTTCAGGTATATGGTTAATTTTGCATCTCAGAACATCTTTTTGGAGTATGGATAATATTGAAAAGCACTAGTAAGTACGTTAGGAAACAGTCATTTATCAATTGGCTGTTAAGTACAAAGCACTGTGTTAGGGGCTAAGGGGGTGATGAATCAGACAGAGATTCTGCTTTGAAGGTGCTTTTACTTTAATAGAGGAAGTTGAAGAATTATTAATCCTCAGTCATGGATACATCTTCCGATGAAATTAATGTGGAAGCTGTCAAGCTCTCAGGTACATGTTTTGTCAACTCCTGGTATATTCAGAAATGAACATTTGATTGGTTTAGCACACTATTTTAGAGAATTAACCTGGAAAGTTGAATTGAGACAGTGATACTGGAAAATCGTATCTGAAGTCCTTTTATTGTTGACGTATTCACTTTTGCTATGGCAGCACACAACCCCAGGATTTCAGGTCTTTATTTCTTGCTCATGGGTCTATTGGGCCGGCTGTCGTCACTCTAGGCTGTTGGTTTGATTTGGTCTGCTCCATGGAGTGGAGGCTGCCCGGGGTGTGCTCTTCACATGGGTGATAGCAAGACATAAAAGGGTGGGAAGAATCACTGAGAGTCTTTTACTGTCTTACCTCAGAACTTTAGTTCTGTGGGGCATGGTGACACACACCTACAATGCCAGCACTCGGGAGGCTAGGGCAGGAGGATCATTGCGAGTTTGAGGCCAGCCTGGGCTACAAAGTGAGCTTAAGGCCAGCCTGAACTGCATAGTGAGACCCTGTCTCAAAAAGACAAACAAACAGAAAAAAAGAACTTTAACTCTCTGTTTGCATCCTATTGTTCTAAGTAAGTCAGTGTCAAACCCAGAGTCCCTGAGTGGAAGTGTATTTCTCCCCTTGGGAATGTCTGGCAAAGGTGGGGAGGGAAGGAAGAGATAAGTACCCCTACCAGAGCCAGTATGACTCCAAAGAAAATACGGCTGATTTTAGAAGTCATCTAAAAAGTTGTATGTACCTTTGAGTCTACCAAGAAAGATCCTTGTTTTTACAGCCCCAAACTGACAAAATTGGGAAAACCTGGTGCTGTGAGTCACTGAAATCTGGAGTGGATTGGTCTGTTTTAGCTTTGTTACGGTTTGAGATAGATAGTACAGGGCAAATTGGACTGTCACTTTAGAAAGGCTTGGCCTGGCTAGGGCTTGCTTTTCTTTTCTCCTTCCCCTTCCCCTTCCCCCTCCCCTTCCCTTCCCGTCCTCCCTTCCCCCTTTCTTTTCTTCCTCTTCTTCCTCTTCCCCTCCACTCCCTCCTTCTCCTCTTCCTTCTTTTTTTTTTGGCATTGGGACTGTATTCAGGGCTTTTGCACTGAGCTACCTTGCTCTAGCCTGGTTTTGAGACAAGGTCTTGCTGAGTTGCCCAGGGTGGGTTTAAACTTTTTTGATCCTCCTGCCTCAGTTTCCCTGAGTACTGGGTGGGTATGTGCCACCACTCCTGACTTAGAATATGTTCTCTTAAAGATCACTCTGCA